CTTTCACCGAACAAGCTTTCTTCTGAATAAACCCAACAATTTCAAATAGTGTGGAAATTTAATTGAAAATGAAACGATGTGTCACGATGACCTAGTTGTTCGGCGAACTCAACGGTAATTTTACTCCAATTTTCCGTGCAGCCCCGGTGGCACAATCGGTTAGCGCGCCGTACTTATAGACAGTACCTTCCCCGAGTCACATCGGGACGAGGAATGCGGAGGTTGTGAGTTCGAGCCTCACCCGGGGCAAAGCACTATTTTTGTAACAAATGTATTTCAATTGAAGGTGTGTATTTACATCGGTATTTCAGAACTATAGGCTAATCAAACAACTGGCTTACCGCATGGTTGTAGGTGAGGTGAAATAGGTTTAACGTCTCGTTCAAGATTATTGCACTTTTATAGCGACGTGCATACTGTGTGTGTGTGTGTGTGTGTGTGTTTGTGTGTGTGTGTGTGTGTGTGTGGATTTTGGTTTGAGATCAGCATTTTTTGTTTTATTACAAGGAGCTGGATTATTTTTTTCGACATAAACAGACCCGAGCTCAATTAAATTATTGTTTACATTAATAACGAAATGTATACTTCAGACGCTCAAACCTGTCTACGAAATAAGGGCACATTATTTGTTCCCAATGTAAATTATTTTCTGCAACACAGGGCCTTGATATTTTTAAACAGAAAAATCTCCCCTCCCTGAAAATCAACTAAATGCTCCCTATATTGGTTTGCAATGAGGAATATAAAATGATTGGGGTCGCGTTTGTCAACATACAGTAAATGTATACAAGTATACATGCAGGTTATGATGATGAGGAGGATGAGGAGGAGGAGGATGACGACGATGATGAAAATGATGACGATGATGACGACGATGATGAAAATGATGACGATGATGAGGATGGTGATGAGGAGGAGGAGGAGGATGTTGTTGTTGATGATGATGATGATGATGATGATGATGTTGATGATGATGAGGAGGAGGATGGCGACGATGATGAAAATGATGACGATGATGAAAATGATGACGATGATGAGGATGTTGATGATGTGGATGAGGAGGATGTTGTTGTTGATGATGATGATGATGATGATGATGATGTTGATGATGATGAGGAGGAGGATGGCGACGATGATGAAAATGATGACGATGATGAAAATGATGACGATGATGAGGATGTTGATGATGTGGATGAGGAGGATGTTGTTGTTGATGATGATGATGATGATGATGATGATGATGTTGATGATGATGAGGAGGAGGATGGCGACGATGATGAAAATGATGACGATGATGAAAATGATGACGATGAGGAGGATGTTGATGATGTGGATGAGGAGGATGTTGATGATGATGATGATGAGGAGGAGGAGGAGTATGATGAGGATGATGATAATGATGACGATGAGGAGGATGTTGATGATGATGACGATGAGGAGGATGTTGATGATGATGACGATGAGGAGGATGTTGATGATGATGACGATGAGGAGGATGTTGATGAGGAGGATGTTGATGATGAGGATGAGGAGGATGTTGTTGATGATGATGATGATGAGGAGGAGGAGTATGATGAGGATGATGATAATGATGACGATGAGGAGGATGTTGATGATGATGACGATGAGGAGGATGTTGATGAGGAGGATGTTGATGATGATGACGATGAGGAGGATGTTGATGATGATGACGATGAGGAGGATGTTGATGATGATGACGATGAGGAGGATGTTGATGAGGAGGATGTTGATGATGTTGATGAGGAGGATGTTGATGATGTTGATGAGGAGGATGATGATGAGGAGGATGTTGTTGATGATGACGATGAGGAGGATGATGATGATGATGACGATGAGGAGGATGTTGATGATGATGACGATGAGGAGGATGTTGATGATGATGACGATGAGGAGGATGTTGATGAGGAGGATGTTGATGATGTTGATGAGGAGGATGATGATGAGGAGGATGTTGTTGATGATGACGATGAGGAGGATGTTGATGAGGAGGATGTTGATGATGTTGATGAGGAGGATGTTGATGATGTTGATGAGGAGGATGTTGATGAGGAGGATGTTGTTGATGATGACGATGAGGAGGATGATGATGATGATGACGATGAGGAGGATGTTGATGATGATGACGATGAGGAGGATGTTGATGATGATGACGATGAGGAGGATGTTGTTGATGATGACGATGAGGAGGATGTTGATGATGATGACGATGAGGAGGATGTTGATGATGATGACGATGAGGAGGATGTTGATGAGGAGGATGTTGATGATGTTGATGAGGAGGATGTTGATGATGTTGATGAGGAGGATGATGATGAGGAGGATGTTGTTGATGATGACGATGAGGAGGATGTTGATGAGGAGGATGTTGATGATGTTGATGAGGAGGATGTTGATGATGTTGATGTTGATGATGTTGATGAGGAGGATGTTGTTGATGATGACGATGAGGAGGATGATGATGAGGAGGATGTTGATGATGTTGATGAGGAGGATGTTGTTGATGATGATGATGATGAGGAGGAGGAGTATGATGAGGATGATGATAATGATGTTGATGAGGAGGATGTTGATGATGATGACGATGAGGAGGATGATGATGAGGAGGATGTTGATGATGTTGATGAGGAGGATGTTGTTGATGATGATGATGATGAGGAGGAGGAGTATGATGAGGATGATGATAATGATGACGATGAGGAGGATGTTGATGATGATGACGATGAGGAGGATGTTGATGAGGAGGATGTTGATGAGGAGGATGTTGATGAGGAGGATGTTGATGATGAGGATGAGGAGGATGTTGATGATGATGACGTTTAATTTGCTCGGTGCAAATTATAAAAAAAACTTTGATTTTATAAAATGGCATTCACAAATAAAGTAATGAAAAAGAATTAATACCAGGACGTTCAAAGTGCAAACTGTATTTCTTCATCCACCTCATCATTCACAGACACACAGTTGCATAGAGAGACAGTGTTAGTATGCTGTAAATTACACACACAAACGCTCAAGTTTTAAAAAAAATAAACAATCACATTATTGAGATAGAAGGTAAGTAAATTATGTTGTTAATTGTAAACATTATAACAGATTAACGGCATGTAAATAGGCTCGGTGTTTGAACATAAGAGGCAGACATGTTTTAATGCTCTATATTATGTTTTCAAATACATTAGGGACAGCCACTTTGAACAGTATTTTAGTTATATCACAACGTGTCAGTGTGACGTGGGAGGAAATCTCAAATTGATGCAGGTCTTATTCGTTTAACACGTTGGCGAAACCCAAGTCCATAAATATTTGATCTGATTTGAAATTCGATCCGCGGATCCTGACACACGTCATGAACACAACTCTCCGGGCAGTGGCGCCTTCTGTAGTTAGTATAGTATGATGACGTCATATAAAGATCACGCATCTCTTTACGTTATGTTCAACAAAGCAAATGCTATTAAAACGGAATATGTTGATCCTCAACTTGGACAACCCAACTGGAGAATTCAGGTCATTACCGTCCATACCGGCAGGACCGCCTCCGTGGTCTTGTGGTAGAGCGTCCGCCCGATGAGCGGAAGGTCCGGGGTTCGTTCCCCGGCCGCGTCATACCAAAAGACGTTAAAAGATGGTACTTGTTGTTACCCTGTCTGGCGCTCGGCATTAAGGGCTAAAACAAGGACTGGTCGGAGTCAGTATAATGTGTCTGAGTGGGGTATTCATGTTAAACTGCGGCATGGTATCTCAGTGAGGTAGCACTATAAATCGGCATCAGTCCGGACTAGTACAAGCAGCCACACACACACACGTACATGCACGTCGCTATATAAGTGCAATAATCTTGGACGCGACGTTAAACCCCATTTCACCTCACCTCACCTCACCTCACCTCACCTCACCTCACCTCACCATACCTCACCTCACCATACCGGTAGTTACACCAATCAGTTCAGCCGAACTGTGTCCCCATAAGTGTGGCCCGTAGTCAATAGAAAATGATCATAAATAAATAAGAAAAATCAGTGGTAACAAATTAAGCTGATGTACATATAGATGTGCATATTAACCACGCCGTACCATATGCTGCCAACCGTAAAACCTTCAATAAAATTGGATTGTTAGCTTAAAAAAAGACATGTGTGTTGTTTTCTTAATTGCCAACACTCTTTGAATAAATATAAACGCCTTTCTCGATACCACCCGACTAGTTTAATGTCATATCAAAATAAATAAGATATGCTTCCACTAAGGCAGCAATAATAACAACAACAATAACAATAATATTAATGTTAATGTTTGACCTGCACCATGACTGTAGAATATATTTATTTTATGAATAAAAACAACAATCAAGATATGTATACAAAAGCAAGTCTAGCCAGCTCTAGCTAGATCTATCGGGAACATTATTTGTTTAATTTTAGAGTCGAAAAGGGTGTTGTGTAATATAAGATTTCATAGACTAAATGCAAGTCTATGTTACTGTGTAAAATGTGTCATCCCCCTTCCTGAAGCATGCATCCCTGAGGCGATGATGATGATGATGATGATGATGATGAATCCTGTTTTGTATAGGATATATTGAAATGAGGTGAGACGAGATAGGGTTATTCAGGGATTTACGGTATATACATCTAGACGTTTAACACATACATTGTATATACAAGTCACGGAATTATTTGATTGTAAATAAATCTGGAGTCTCCCTGATTCCCGTACAGTTAGTTCTGAGAGGTGTTATTTTTCAAAAATAATTTTTACTGTATATTTACTGACCTAAACATAACAAATCGGCTTATACACAATAAACGAAAATTGCTCAGTGGAACTGTAAATCAGAGATCATATATGGTCTCTGATATCATTTTCCCCCACAGAAACGATTCTCTTGGACTCGATCTTCGTGATGATTTCGTATTTTGAGGAGGCTTGAAATTTGGAAAACCCACGTCTCTATAAATAGTACATTTTTGTTGATGTCACGTGATTTCGAGACTTCCGGCGAGACGTGATGTAGGAGCCTGTTGGTGCAGTTTTGACATACCTCACACAAACTTGAGGCCGGCGAGAGACGGATTAGTGTGAAGCGAACAAATGGTAAACCATATTTTCATTATATTCATTGGACATACTTTGAAATGTCATTATCAACCTAAGGTCGTTGATGAAAACAAATTGTTGATCGATTTGTCACATGATTTTTCTCTGACAACATGTTTTTGTTTGGAGTGACTAACAGTGAGTGACGCAAACATTAGGTCGTCACTTACTGTCACTTAGTCACTTAGTGTCACCTATACAGCAGGTTGGAAATAGTGTAGGCCTTACAGTCAACTCCGAAGAAGACGGCAAACGACTTGATGTTACTGATAGTTTAATTCTGCCTCAGAATGTGAGATTTTTATTTTTTCATCTTTGCGAAATGAGGCTATATACAAAATTAATTTTTTTTCAGGAAAATTACATTGGTTTTCATTCATTTGATATTTATATGTTGGCATAAACTTGTTATTTTGCTTTCAATGACGTGGTTTAAATATGGATCGTGTCCTGTGAATTCTGCTACAAATTTATAAGTGAGCAGGGAAATAGGTGCATTCCTTGGTTACATTTGGTGAGATAAATTGTTGCTAATGGATGCTTTTTTTTACGTGAATGGATTATTAACCAACCACAACAATATTACCCCAGGCAACCTATGGTTGTTGTCGGCGACCCTTCGGAGGCCTGCATGGTGACATGGTTTGTTTGTTGTTAATGCCGCACTATTCAAGCTATATGACGGCGGTCTGTAAAAAATCGAGTCTGGACCAGACAATCCAGGGATTTACATGAGCATTAATCCACGCAATTGGGATTGATGACATGCATTAACCACATCAGTCCCGTTAGTCGCCTCTTACATCGTCGCCTTTTACGGCAAGCATGGGTTGCTGAAGACCTATTCTACCCCGGATTGTAACTTGGTTAGTAACATGTCATCAGATCCTGATTGTGTGGATTGATACCCTTGATGTCATTAGACAGGCCACTGCCATAGAGATGGAATATTGCTGTGTGCAGCATTAGCTGAGATTGGTGAAGGACGTGACTGACAGGGGTTTACAACAAACACCATTACGACACAAGTCATCAAAAATATGGTCCAGTTGATAGAGCATCTGCTTGGATAGCAGGCAAGGGGTTCAATCCCTGGCCGCATCATAACAAGTCTAATAAAGAAGGTACTTGTAGTTACCCTGCCTGCTCCTCGGCATTTTATAAAGGACTGGATGGCAGTATACTCGGGCCGTTACGATACACTCACGTGTTCAGTGAATTGAACCGTATCCATTCATGAATTGAATTTGTTATTTGTGGCCACTAGAATCTAACATTTATGGATATGCAAGCATGTGCATTTACGTAACCTGTACCTAAAAATATCCATAAGAACCTATATTAGATGCACAGATATCTTCAAAGACAACACTCTCAAAACATTTAATTTGACAGTATTGTGGGCACTGTTCATTGTCACTTTGGGCAGATACTAATACCTGGATAAGTGCAGTATATAAATTAATAATATATTAATTATTAACAAACCATGTCAAATAAATTATGATGTTAATGTTTCACTGAATATAACAAATAATACTTCAGCTGCTGACTTGTTATTGTATTTGTGAATTAATATCCGTATTTGTTACCCTATATTCGCGATACAAATCATATTCGCCTCATAGTGTATTCGTTGCAGTCCTACAGTATATGTATACGCTGATTGGCCTGTTATTAGCACTGAGGCGTGGTATGTCAGTGGACTAGCAATATAACACTGGCATTAGTGCAAACTGCCACACACACATGCACATCATGCCCCCGGCGATATTTGCTATTATAGCTAAAATGGATAGAATTATCATTAAACCGCCCGCACGTTATCAGAAATGAGCGGGCCACTGTAACTTGATAATGCCCTCATATTGCTTGACAACGGGCCAGTATCAAGCCCGTTGTTAGGTGATGTCATAGGGTAGAGAAAATGACGTCACGTATTATAGTGACGTCATCTGGTTTGTTCTATGACGTTTCCATATTTGTAAAATGTGGTCAGTGACATTCGTGTGATTGCAGTAAATGTTTCAAAACCGATGTTGTTGTTTCTTTTTATTTAATAAAAAATTTCATCCATTTTAGCTATAATAATGGTAATGCTCTTTTTCAGGTCATTATCATTTGCAGAAGCCCTCGGTCTTTTCATCTGCCCTCCTTCGTCGGGCAGTTAATGGAAGACCTCAGGCTTCTGCAGATGATAATGCCCTGAAAAATAGCGTACCCTTATAAAATATTGGCTCGTGAACAATCCCAATTAGCACCCTTTCCAATTGATCGATGTACACAATGCTTATTTATTCGCGTATAATACCCACTTGTGTGTTATATGCACCCTTAATTATGGGCAAATAAATTCTGAAAAAATATATCTCTCGTATATAAACAGAGTTAGAAACTAACAGTTTTTGTCCACTAGTCCTTATGATACCTTTACTATTGGGCAGTTTGGTAAGGACTACAGGACTAGTGCCAATTTCTAACGCTGTATAAACATTTCAGGCTGTCAGCATATACCACAAAATTAATCTTTCAACTTTTTGACAAAATAATATTCTCATAAGAGCCCCCTATTTCTAATTTTGAGAGCGCCCTGGGCGATTATTACGTCGACTACGGTATGTGAGTGCAATAATCCTTAAACCCAATTTCACCTTATCTTCAACCGACTCCCGGGGGCATGGGTGAGGAAAGGTCCTCAGCTTGTCATACAAAGTGAGTGAGTGAGTTGGGTTTAACACCGCTTTTAACAGTATTCCAGTTATATCACGGCGTGTCAGCTTAACGTGGGAGGAAAGCCCGAAGTGATGCAGGTCTCAGACATTTACCACTTCGGTGAAACCCACGAGTACGGGTATGGTGCTGACAAACCTAGAAACATAATCGGGGTGAACCAGGATTCAAACCCACAATCATAGGTTTCTGGCATGCCCAAGGGAAGGGGACGCAACTCTGCACAGCGAATCGCGGCGCCTTAGACGACTGGGTCATCCGTGCCCCCTGTCATATAAATTGGATGGGTGTCATAATGCCCCTAATGGTCTGTTGTTGTTCATTCCTTGAATCACTGGTTTGCCTGGTCCAGATCATTCAGGGGGCGGTCGGGTAGCCAAGTGGTTAAAGTGTTTGCTCATCATGCCGAAGACCCGGATTCGATTCCTGACATAGGTACAATGTGTGAAGTGCATTTCCGGTGTACTCTGCCGTGATATTGCTGGAATATTGCTAAAAGCTGCGTAAAACCATACTCACTCACTCACTCTGCTGTGTGTTTACAGAGACACATGATGCGAGATGACGACATCCAGCAGCTCCAGCCACACCAACTGCTCCATCTGCCTGGACCCCTTCAACTCCCCCGCTGCCTGCATCCCCTGCGGCCACGTCTTCTGCAACCTCTGCATCAGCCAGTGGTACTCCACCACCAGGGGCGGGGCACGCGGCCTGTGCCCCCAGTGTCGTACCTCCATCCTCTCCATACAGACCCTGCGCATCGATGACGGACACAGTGAGTACTCTAGGGCTGTAATGATTCACGCCCGTGAAGATCCGGGGTAGAATAGGTCTTCAGCAACCCATGCTTGCCGTAAAAGGCGACTATGCTTGACGTAAAAGGCGACTAACGGAATCGGGTGGTCAGGCTCGCTGACTTGGTTGATGCATGTCATCGATCCCAATTGCGTGGATCGATGCTCATGATATTAATCACTGGTCTGGTCCAGACTCGATTATTTACAGACTGCCGTCATATAGCTGGAATATTGCTGAGTGCGGCGTTAAACAACCAGCCAAGCAAGCAAGAAAAAATGTAATGATTCACCGATACCTGCGATATTGTCGACACTTCGGTACACACGATACTTGCATCGCCTGTTTGTGAGATCGCAATACACTATAAATAGAACAGGAACTAATAGAGTTACCTCCCATAATATCAGACGTAGCATAGCGCCACCTGTAGGCATGGCAGAAGACGAGGGCTGAGGACGCACCTACTAACTGTTACATTTAATAACCATCCCTTCATTTACTGTTTTGTTCTTGTGGTTTTTGTGTTAAAGTTTTACAGATAACAATGAATGAATGCAGGAAGAGCTTTTAGAGCTCATGTTAAAAGGCAACTAACGGGATCGGGTGGTCAGGCTTGCTGACTTGGTTGATGCATGTCATAGATCCCAAATGCGTGGATCGATGCTCATGATGTATATCAATCACTGGATTGTCTGGTCCAGACTCGATTATTTTACAGACCGCCGTCATATAGCTGGAATACTGCTGAGTGCAGCGTTAAACAACAAATAAACAAACAAACAAATTGTATTTGATGTAGAGTATCGTGATAGCAGTATTATCGTCAGTCCATATTGTGATAAGAATCATATCGCATGATACCAGGCAATACTCAGATCTAGTGAGTGAGTGAGTGAGTTTGGTTTTACGCCGCTTTTAGCAATATTCCAGCAATATCACGGCGGGGGACACCAGAAATGGGCTTCACACATTGTACCCATGTCGGGAATCGGACCCGGGTCTTCGGCGTGACGAGCGAACGCTTTAACCACTAGGCTACCCGACCACCCCTACTCAGATCTAGACTACTTGCAGACAGCTCTATTTAGAACACACAATGACATTTAGAAAGTGGTCAAATGTAACCGATGTTATATTTGGGATGACACTTTCTTAGTAAAGTACAGATTCTTGTTCTGTTTTGGGTTGAATCCCATCTGGGATTGAACCCACACTGCCAGAGCGAGGCACCTAATCGCCAGCACTAGACTACCAATTGTCTAATCTTTCATTCTTTTGGAAGGCTCGGTGGCTAAGGTGGGTAGATTGCTGACCAATTCCTTTTTAGAGTTTATGAACACGAATGTTTATGAATATTGAAATGTAAAACAAAAAATGGAAAAAAAATGGGTTTGATGTTCTGCTGTCCAGAAGAAAGTAACACGTTTTGAAAAAAATAAATTTACCATAGATTTTGGAAAGTGTTGATTCATTTTTTTTTCAATCCACTTAACATTTTTGGGATATTAAAGAAAATTAAATTGAAATTGTACTTGTTTGGTTTTGACTTCTGTAAATCAGAGTAATTCTAATTCTGTAACCCCCCCCCCCCCCCCCAAAGATCTGGTCCTCGTTTCTCAAAGCGATCTTAGCGCTACAATGGTCGTAAGCCTATCACCTTAGCGCTAAGACTGCTTTGAGGAATGAGGCCCACTAAGACGATTGTAACCCCCATATTTTAACATAGATGTATGACAGTCGTAGCGCTAACATCTCTTTGTGGAACGGGGCCCTGGCTTTAACTTTTGAGCTGCTTGCAAACAAATCCACATAGACATAGACTACTAATAGTCTGACAACCCTGCATATACCCAGTGAAGCCTGTTCAGCTTGTGGCCATGTGTGTCCTTACCGTGAGTGAGTGAGTTTGGTTTAACGCCGCTTTTAACAGTATTCCAGTTATATCGCGGCGTGTCAGCTTAATGTGGGAGGAAAGCCCGAAGTGATGCAGGTCTCAGACGTTTACCACTCCGGTGAAACCCACGAGCACGGGTATGGTGCTGACAAACCTAGAAACATAATCGGGGCGAACCGGGATTCGAACCCACAATCATAGGTTTCTGGCGTGCCCAAGGGACGCAACTCTGCACAGTGAATCGCGACAACTTAGACGACTGGGCCACCCGTGCCCCCGTGTCCTTACTGATGTTATCTTGTTGTGAATGCAGGCATCACATATATTTGAACTTTACTGCAGGGAATAACACACATTATGCTTTAAATATTGTCGACTGCCTCCGTGGTCTAGTGGTAGAGCGAAAGGTCCACGGTTTGAACCGGGGCCGCATCATACAAGAAGGTCGTTTAAAAATGGTACTTTTTGTTGCCCTGTCTGGCACTCAGCGTTAAGAGGCTAAAACAAGGACTGGTCGGTTTGAAGCCAGTATACTGTGTCTGAGTTGGGTATTCACGTTAAACTACGAGATAGTATTTCGTGAGCTAGCATTATGAAAGCAGATTAGTCCGGACTAGTACAATCAGCCACACACACGTGCATGCACGTCGCTATATAAGTGCAGGGAGGTCGGGTAGCCTAGTGGTTAAAGTGTTCGCTCGTCACGCCGAAGACCCGGGTTCGGTTCCCGACATGGGTACAATGTGTGAAGCCCATTTCTGGTGTCCCTCGCCGTGAATCCGTGATATTGCTGGAATATTGCTTCAAGCGGCGTAAAACCATACTCACTCACTATATAAGTGCAACAATCTTGAACGCGATGTTAACCCCATTTCACCATCACCTCACCTTAAATATTGTAAGTTATTAGAGATGCAATCCTGTTATAAGCTAAAGCAACATGTGACAAGAACACTATGGACAGATCAATGTCCAATGTCCAACTTGTGAGTAAATATTCATTCTACCATGAATTTGGAAATACTCAATTTTGATGGCCATCAGAGGTATCAAATTACAATACACCTCTTCAAATTGAAACAGTCGATGTGACGGCCAGATCACTGAGGAATCTAATATTTATAGAATGGTACTTTTTTTACAATAATTGGTGGGAGGCATATTTGATAATTATACGTACGATTATAGGCTACAATGTGAAAAGTTGCTGTTACGACCTTATATGGCAATATATATCGTGCAGAAAACACAATAGAAATCAACAAAGAGTATGTGTTTCAATTCTTTAGGACAATAGAGAGTTTGCTGTTAGGAGCTTTTCTGTGACATCATATATTTTGCGTCACAATGAGGGATATCATGTCGTAATAGTGCAGGGTTAGAAATTGGCACTAGTCCTGTAGTCCTGGCCAAACTGCCCAATAGTAAAGTTATCATAAGGACTAGTAGAAATTTGCCATTTTTAAGGGTTTTGCTATATGTTATCATTATAAGGACTAGTGGACTGAAACTGTTAGTTTCTACCGCTGTAGTGACGTGTGGTTCAGAACGTAACCTTTGCAAGGCTTGCTTATGTTTTTATCGGGTGCCCAACTTATTTTAGCCTACGGAGTTGGCGTGCTACATGCTTTCAGTGTCTTTCATAAGTTCGAATGAAGTATTACGGTGTTAAGAAACTGCTTGAGCATATAGAGCGTCATATTTTGTTTAAAGGGGAAGTGTACACACAAAAATCACTTTCTATCTTTTTCTAAACAAAACGCAATTTTAGAATTAGTTAGTATCTGTGTTTGAAAATATACACTCATTTTTTTCACGGTGAAAGTAGGAAGCTCACAATAGCGTGAAAATGATATGCCGTTATGAGGCCTTCGTTTTTCGAGCTAAACAGGCCTGAGTTATCCCCCTTAGATTATGACGTAATTGGTGCCAATTCAACTGGGTCCCTGTCTATTCTCAACGCAAAAGATATCAAGTACCAGTTTTCGGTAAAACAACATTGCCTACGACACACTCCGGCGCAGTGGTGACTCAGCATAACACTATGCTGGCTGGCATCTGAGACGCTAGAATCACACACCTGTATCTACACCACGTGAAGCGGCTCTAACAAAGCATGATGACGTCATAATGTTTATCAATTGGCACCAATGACGTCATATTGTAAGGGGCATAAGCCATGGTGTTTTAGTTATGGAAATAGAACACTTGGTAAATGTGAAAAATAAAAATCATTTTAATGCAAAAAATATGTCAATTATTAGTGATATTTTTATATTTTTGTCTATGACACTTCTATGTTAACACTTTTAATGTGGAAAAAGTACAAGAAAAATAGGTTCATTTCCGTGTGAACTTGCCCTTTAAACATGTTAAAGGCTGTTGTTGGTGATTCCGTAAATTCTGTTCTTCAACCTGCTCCAAACACTGGACTCAACCCATACCGCTTCACTCAATATATTCCCTAGCACCAAGAGTTCCCGTTTTATTATGTCATGGTAGAATGGAGATAAACATACTGTGTTTTCAATGTAGAGCCAGGTTACCTGTAGATTTAATTCATCTTCCCGAGGCAAGAGAGTTAACTGACTTTAAAAGTCCAGTTTCCACCCTTGCCGAACTAGACTGGAATTACTGGGCTCGATCGTAGCGACACCAGTGGCTATTACCAGATATGTCCCCGCTAAGCCTCTCCTATGGACCAATCAGATTCCACCTGTCGTATCACTTGCGTTTGCTTCACACAAAATGGTGGCGCCGAGTCAGGACGATCTGATCGATAATCAAGATCTATATTGTGATAAAATGGGTCTTACATCGCGAAGTGCATCAAATCACGTGAGCACCTTGATTAAAAACAGTTGGCGGTGCACATGCTTTGCAAATCCTGCAATCGATCAAAATCTGCACGACAGTTTACGAACAGGATTTCGATTTCGGTGCGCGATTTTGACTGGACTATGCATAGACTCGCTAGTCCAGCCAAAATGCAACTCCATAATACCAGCCTAGTTCAACAAGGGTGGAAACTGGACTTTTATAGGCAGTTAACTCTCTTGCTTCGGGAAGATGATTTAATTGTGCTAAATTTAACATTTGAAACCTGTATTTTCGGTCTCAAAGTCAATTTAGCACTGTTAAATCTGCAGGTGTCCTAGCTCTACTTTGAAAACAGAATATGTTTATCTCTTAAATAGCTAAAACAAAATACCTGGAGCCCTGGAGACGTATTGTGAATTACCTGTCTCATGTTAGCTGTGTATGTCTGTAGGCAGTGCTCCAGATCAGCTTTTGGTGTTGTGGGTATTTACCCATGCATTTTAAAATCATTGGGTATCAGTAATTCTATCTGGGTATTCAAATTTCTGTTACCCACTAGTTTTTACACATGTGGGTATTTAAGTTAAATATTTAACAACACTATTCATCTAGTCCCTGCAAACTGGTTTCATGTGGGTTCGAGAGCTTTATAGGACTCAATAATACCACGATACTTCCACAAGAAAGTGTGATGGCAAATGATCATGATGTAACTGTCATCGTGGAGTTTGGCAAGGTTGAAGGAATGCCCGTTTATAATTTCAAAATAAGTTGCTGATTTGCTAATCGAATACGCAGGGTTACTTCACCATATTTTGATGATACGCACAAGTTTTATTTTTGTAGCGTATCTGTAATGTTCGTTGCGTATTTTACTGCGTATTTCTGCATTTCTGATGCGTATTTAACGCAGATACGCAGCCTATCTGTAGCTCTGCTGTAGGCCAAGTTTGAAATGTTTTGATTAGTTGAGCATTCATACAATTTGGTGTGCAAGGCTTTGAATTTTTAGGAAGGGCAACTGACAATCTGACTTTGTTCGCAAAATATACTTACCGTATTCGACCCAATAAGCGCCCATGGCGCTTAAAATAAAGACAGAAGGGGTGGGCGCTTATTGGGACCAATTCAGAGTCAAATTGGCGTAAATTCATCAGTAAGCCTATCGATATTCTTCTGTTGCTGAGGGCTAGAGATAAACTGTTACTTACGTTTTACTGGTGAACATCTCCTCATTAACCGACTACAAAAGATTCTTGTCCGTATGTAAAAAACAGGTGAGTAAATCTTACTTGGGTATCCGGGAAAGGGGCGGGGGGGGGGGGGGGGGGTGTGCTTATTGGGACATGGGCGCTTATTGGGTCGAATACGGTTTATGAATATCGCCGATGTTTTGTTCAACAACAAAGATTTAAAAGGAACTTTATTTGCCGGTCCACAGGGACTGGCAGTAACATGAATTACCAGTCAAAGCCTAATTTTATCGGTAAAAAACTGGTAATTACAGGTAAATGGGAACACTGCAACTGCTGCTCAATAAACCGTGTTTGTGTTTATATTCAAGTTCCACTATCCAAAGGGTGCAGTGAGGCTGTCTTATTGTTGATAGTAATTTTGGAGACATAAATGCGAAGTTAATTAATGCGAGCAAAGAACACTCACATTTTTCGCATTTAATTCACACTTGCGTTAATTTCAAGATTTACAGTATTTGGAATACCGACACTTGAAACAATGTTGATTACTTGTTTTTGACTGTTGTGGATTTTCATCAAGTGATTTGTATATATGATGTGAATAATTTCAGTTTCCATACATCATTCTTCTGTCCTGGCCCGGACCGTGAATTTCTTCCACCAACAGTGGTTTTCTCTCACACGCAGTGTGCACGATCTCGCCGTGGAGGTCCCCACCAGTGTAAGAGGTGAGTATAAACACAGGGGTGTGAGAGTAAGGTATAAACACAGGTGTGTGAGAGTAAGGTATAAACACAGGTATGCGAGAGTAAGGTATAAACACAGGTGTGTGAGAGTAAGGTATAAACACAGGTGTGCGAGAGTAAGGTATAAACACAGGAATGTATGCTGGTCATAAGGGGAGACTAGAAGGATTGGGTGGTCAGACTTGGTTGATTGCATGTCATCGTACCTGAAATGAGTTGGATGTTGCTCATGATATTGTTAGTAGTATGGTTCAGATGCGATTATTTTCAGACCAGTGTTTAGCTGGAATATTGCTGACTGCTGCATTAAACTTGATTCACCTTACCCTTAAAGATCCTGGTTAGAATATGTCTTCAGCAAGTAACAGGATCGGGTGGTCAGGCTCGCTGACTTGGTTGATGCATATCATCGTATCCCAATTGATTAGATCAAAGCTCATGACATCAATCCCTGGATTGTCTGGTCCAGACTCGATTATTTCAAGACAGCCGTCATGAAGCTGGAATATTCCTGAGTACAGCGTTAAACAACAAACAACCAAAAACTTGATTAACTGGCTGACTCAGCTGTATGATCGTCATACTATGCTGATAGGCTTAGGATGTCACTCATGCCATCAATCACTGGTTTATCTGGTCCAGATTCAATCATTTTCAGGCCGCCATGACCAGGAATATTAAACACCATTCATTCACTGACGTGGCTGATTGATTGTCACCGTGCCCTGAGGTGTTGCTCTTGTTTCCAATCTCTGGTCATCTTCCCTATGCAAGAGAGTTAACTGACTTAACTGCCGAACTAGGCTGGAATTTTTTGGTTCGATCGTAGCGCCAGTGGCTTTCTTGAGATGTGTCCCTTCTATATCCCTCCTTAACCAATCAGATTCCACCTATCGTGTCACTTGCTTCGGCTTCAAACAAAATGGCGGCGCACAGTCGGGACGATATGATCGATGATCAGGATCTATATTGTAGTAGAACGGGTCTTACCTCAAATCAAATCATGTGAGCACCTTGATTAAATACATGAAAAATTTGGAAAATATCTGTCGACGCCCAGTTGGCGGTACTCATTCTTTCCAAATCCTGCAGTCGACTGAAATCCATATTGTTTACAAACCAGATGTCCATTTCTTTACGCAGTTTTGATTGGACTATGTAGAGACTCGTTAGTCCAGCCAAACTGTAACTCCATAGTACCAGCCTAGTTCGGCAAGGGTGGAAACTGGACTTTTATAGTCAGTTAACTCACTTGCCTCGGGAAGATGATCCCTGGTTTGCCACGAGCAGGCTCCATTATTTACAGGTCTCTGTGATAGAGCTGGAATATGCTGACAGCGGCTTTAAACAACATTCATTGACTGAGGCATGTGTTTCAGAGCTGGAGCAGGCTACGGAGAGATACCAGATTCCTAATGTTGTCCAGGCAGCACGGAGGATCAGGAGATTGCCAGGTAATTTATGAGTGTGAGTGAGTTGGGTTTTACGCCGCTTTTAACAGTATTCCAGTTAAATCACGGCGTGTCATCTTAATGCGGGAGGAAAATCCGAAGTGATGCAGGTCTCAGATGTTTACCACTTCGGTGAAACCCACGAGCACGGGTATGGTGCAGACAAACCTAGAAACATAATCGGGGCGAACCAGGATTCGAACCCACAATCATAGGTTTCTGGCGTGCCCAAGGGACGCAACTCTGCACAGCGAATCACGGCGCCTTAGACGACTGGGCCACCCGTGCCCCCTGGCAATATATGATATCTTCACGCAAAGAATAATGAAGAACGAAGCTTGATTTGTGTCACGAAAAAACTTTGTTCTATCATGACAGGGGTGGTCGGGTAGCCTAGTGGTTAAAACGTCGCTATATAAGTGCAATAATCTTGGACGCGACGTTAAACCCAATTTCACCTCACCTCACCTAGTGGTTAAAGCGTTCGCTCGTCACACCGAAGACCTGGGTTCGATTCCCGACATGGGTACAATGTGTGAAGCCCATTTCTGGTGTCCCCCGCCGTGATATTGCTGGAATATTGCTAAAAGCGGCGTAAAACCATACTCACTCACTCACTCTATCATGACATCATTTCTGGAGATTTGAACATTTGCTCGCAACTTGATGATTTCGTATGTTGGATGACGCTAATTTTGAGAGGGGCGCGTCTTGCAAGTTGTCTCCATAGATGTAGCTAGGCAAAGCAGATAAACGCAGTGGCAGAATGATCGCATCCAAAAGTGGGCGAGATATGACAATCGGTATTGGGTAAAAAGGTACAGCTAATCGACGTGAAAATTAAATGGGCGTATAGGATTTTACCAGCTGAATTGGTTAGGTCGAGTGTACAGAAACATTCAGCTCTTCCTGTCCACCCTGCTTGTGACACATATAACAAATTTATCAATCAGATTTCACGGGTTACAAAATTTTCAATGACAATTAAACCTATCTGGTGACAGACTTTCAGCCAGAGGAAGGGGATAGTGACAGTTGAGTTTGCTAGATGCCTTACTGAATAATGATCGTTGTGTTCCAGCCACCGTGTTGCTGTCTTGGTTCAATCTGGGCCCGGAGGTGCAGCTCTTCACCCTTCTCATCCTCATCCTCCTTGCATCCCTCCTCATCAAAGATCTCCAGAACCCTGTGGGACTCTTCCACAACTGTGTCTTCCCTGTCGGCAGCCTATGCAAGGACGTCTTCCGTGAAACTCTGTGTTGTCTGCTGCTGGTGATCTGTCGGCCGCTCGTCTGTGTCGGGCAGTGCATTCTGGAAGTGCTTTTAGCATTGTGGGACATCTTTTTCGGGACGATGGTTTCGTTGACGTTGGTGACTTTCTACACGACCCAGATTCCCTTCGTTGTGCTAAGTGCTGTGATAGAGTGGACATGTGCTCTGGTCATATTTATTTCGGAGGCGTTTATCGCGATGTTACGCCTCGCGTTCATCATGGGCCTGGTCCTCGTTCCTGGATACTTTGCTCAAACGACGGAAGAACAAAGAAGCGAATATTTTCAAAATTTCCTGACAATCGTACGGACTGGTCGTGATCGCTACCAAGCCTATGTGGACAGTTTACAGGAGAGATATATCAATGCTGGATAAACTTTTGTCTGTGATTTTCGCAGATTTTAATAATAATTCAGTTTTTATTTCTTGATTTATGAAGTTCCTTAGGTGGTGAATTTAAATTTAAATTTGTCAATTTCATCTTTTATGATCATGGTAAAAAATAAGGTTTAAAAAAATAAAAGAATTAGTTCTCAGGCAATGGTTTTTGAAACTATAGTGCGGGTGGGCGGTGTCTCTTATTGTTGTTGTTGTTGTACTAGTATGTAACCAATAAACAATTGTGTACAATCAACCTGGGAAACGGCCTCCCTACAGAAATGTATTCCTTGATGAGTAAAACACTGGAATACAGTATTTGACTACCGTTGGATTGGAATTTTTGATGATTTTTTTTTTAATAAAATGGAAATAAAAATGAAACGTGTGGTGAACTTTATGATGAGGCGGGCGGAGCCTGAGAACCAAGACTATTATTTTTTTTAGCCTGATATACACTTATTTGATTATTTCAGTGAATGAGATGTCCAAGAGTTACTTCCCTTACTATGTCAGTTTACCAGTGGAGTTTTTTGTCATGTTTTACCCAGAAGCCAGATTAGTTTTCTATTTCAAAATAGTTAACTGAAATCAATGTGTCCAGTATTTAATACATGTTATTAAGCCTCTTATCCTGGTAATACAACTAATAACCATTGATAACTGTGTTACATGATTTTGGTGTGTGTGTGTGTGTAAATCCAGTTAATATGGTCACCACTGAGCACATGGTCAGTACAGGAAGTTAGATGAGAGTGGTCTCCCCTTAGATAATACTGTCTTACAACTATTCCTAACTGATATAATGAGCTACAAGATAACTTTGATCCAGAGATCAACACAGTACGAAAAGGTGTTATACTATATACTACGGTGACTGGTCAAAATCGTTCCATACATAAAAAAATATCCTGCATACCATCTGTACCAAAGTGCAATGCTTATGGTTCTTATAATTTTAAGTAAATATGGTGGAAGCTTCAACTAAAATAACACGATATTGGAATATTATTCCTGATAAAATAATAATTTCAGATAATTTTTTCCGACCATTGCATCAAAAAATTTGAAGTTGTATCATTGGGTACGTTTTAACTGAATCACCGGTAGATTGGGAGGAAGTGTGTGCACAGCTGATTGCTATTTCCGGCTTTGTTTACGAGAAAACACACACGGTAATCTTAATCTCTGCATATAAAACAATGCCTTGGAAAGCAGGAAATACATTTTAAATGGTAAATCATCATGTCTAGTGGTGTTTTATATCAAATTTCATACTTTTATTGACCAAGTTTGTTATACCTGTTTATTCACCTGAATTCGCTGAAGGTTTACGATAACGCTCATCAATTGTTTGGACCCCGAAGGTAGCGTTGTTTGTTATTTAAAATGTCCGGACCGAAAAATTTAAATGTCCAGTAGGCAATATTTTAAGCCGGACATTTGAGATTCCCAATCGGACATGTCCGGCGCATATGACCGTTTCCAGATCCCTGTGTTATAGTATACCTATCTATTGATGTACCTTCAGACTCAGGAATGAGAATATGGTACGTAAATATTTATGTAATATAAAAGTAGAAAACAAAAACATTATGAAAACAGTAACTAGTAACTAGTAATATGTGATCACAACAATGACTTCCGAAGCATTTGTAATTGTTTTCAAGGAACATGAGGTATTAAGTTGAAACAATCATAGTGGTATACATGATACTGTTGACGTTGACATATCTACAGTGTTAAGTTATTGATATTTTTTATAATTAATTTTTCAAAGAAATAGCTACAATGTTATAATGTTATTTTATCATGATGTAGATCTGCACATGGAGACACAGATATTGTTAAAATTGAAACCGACAACTTTGTGAGTGTGTTTTTTGTCTTTAAGCATGAACTATTCTTCCCTTATGGTAATGAGTGTACTCCTGTAGCCTGACAGTTGTTGACACTGTCCAAAAGTGCTAATATCTCATTATACGGAAACTGGGTCGTTTCCTGCAAACCGATATGCTACATGCCTGTTTCCGACCATCTCAACAGGCAGATTCGCTACACGAATTGGGTGAACGTTTCCCACTTAGCAATATGCCGTAGGCTTGTCTCCGTCCCTCAATGTTTCACCGCAGTGAAATTCTGCATGGGAAATAGGTCGGATAGAGCAAGACTGGTACCCTGCCCTTAGCACCCAGCGGGCTGCAGGCAAGGCTCTCAAGCGCTTGAAGGCAGATAAACCAGTCTAGGACAGGACGTGACTCCCTCTTATGATTTTAGCCAAATACATGATCATGTTTAGTGTAATAATTTGCAGTTAGGAATGTTTTAAAGCATATTTTCATAATTATTTATGTATTTCATATGTACGCATATCATTATACACATGTGAGACGAAGATAAGGTTTCTTTTAAGAGTTTGGTTACCTCTTCCCACTGATTACTCATCCCCATGGCCCATACCCCTATGTAATGTTTCTCAAACCCATAACAAATAAGGCAAATATTATTTAATAACAGAAATATTTTTGTCTGTGAAACTTTATTTTGTACTTTTCTGTTAATAACAGAATATTTTTATCTGTAAAATCCAAATATGTTTTCAAATGATTTTGTCTCTCTAGTTTCAAGTTTTTTATGTTGATCTAAAAGACATTTTAATAACAGTATATCCAAAAATGGTATAATGATTTGAAGAGAAAAGCAGTTAAATTTTACAATATTATTCAAAATTCGTGCAATTGTGTAAGCCAAGTGACTTGTGTGTGAACCCCTGATATTCAGGTTTTGATCGGATGGCCCAAGCCACATTTAAGCCGAAGTAGCAAGATTGTTGCTCTGGGATATTAAATGATGCTATTAATCTGATGAAGCAGGTGTTTGTCAGACAATCATCCTGTGACCCTGTCCATGACGTGACATATCTTTCGTGAGGCCAAATAAATACTTGTGTTCCAGGAAACCCTGGCGACCTTTCACTTACAACTCAAATGTTTTGTTTTTTATGACAGCTGGAAATACCCATCAAAAACATATTTAAGAGTTGGTAGAAAATTGTATGTTTCCATATATTGTTGTTATAGTTATCTTGACGTACAAATTCCAGAAACATTGCAAGTAAGTTCGAATCAAGCCATCTGTGTTACACATTAAAAACTAAATACTACATGAAACTCCTATCCATTTTTCCTATGATGATGATGATGATGATGATATTTGTTATATGCCAAGTCAACACCCTAAAGTATGCTCAAAGCACTACATGACCAAAGTCCTAGAAACAGGAGTCAAGCTTACCAACTTGGTCACCCATCCACCTACTCTCCGCCACCAGCTTTGCTCATCTTTTCCTGATTTGAGGCCTGTATATTTTACACGGTACCAGATTGGTACAGGCAGTGTTTGAGTTTTCATGTTTCGTACTATGTTTCGTATAGTGACCTTGCTATCAAGATATATATCATATCTTGACAAAGAGTATTATTACAGCTCAATTGTTTGCAGTGGTTTAATCCATACAATGTCAACTCAACCTCAGTATGATGAACTGTCATCTTTCTAAAAGGCAAATGTAGCGAAACTATGCAAGTTTGATCATTGTAATATCAAGTTTCCCTGTGTGTAGTTCGATTTGAAGTCCTGTATTAGTCACGTGATAATCAAACAATGGAATACACTTTCATCATTCAGGGATGTTGAAAGGCTAAATCAAAACCAGCGTTTGTATGCAGTATTACGTCTTTGAACTTACCTCACTTGTTAAGCTCACACGCCATGATCTAACCAAACTTACTCAGGCCAGATTTCTGTTAGGATTACGTTTTTTAGGCCACAGAATTCAGGTTGGTAGGTCAAGTTTGTTTTGGGGATATGAATTTCAAATGTTTTTATTGATTTCCTCAAAATGTTAAGAAGGTGGAGGAAAAATATGAAAAAATTATGCAAGTTTTAATTGTAGTTTTTAAAATAATTTATGAATACGGCAGAGCTCCAGATTTAATTCTGACCTGTTGAGTGTTTACGTGTTCTCCCATGTTATCATTCACAATGTAGTCCAAGGTTTTGCCTATGGAATCTAGAGTGGCCCATTCGTCTAAAGCGCCGCGATTCGCTGTGCAGAGTTGCAACCCTTGAGCACGCCAGAAACCTATGATTGTGGGTTCGAATCCCGGTTCGCCCCGATTACGTTTCTAGGTTTGTCAGCATCATACCCGTGCTCGTGGGTTTCACCAAAGTGGTAAACGTCTGAGACCTGCATCACTTTGGGCTTTCCTCCCACATTAAGCTGACACGCCGTGATATAACTGGAATACTGTTAAAAGCGGCGTTAAACCAAACTCACTCACTCACTCACTCACTCAATATATTTTTTCTCCCATTGGGTTAATCCTTGTGAGTATTTATGAACAAATAATAACCAGTTTTTACTGTAATTTTGCACACAATGCTGTTTTAGGTGATAGTTCGTGCATTATTGACAGCGGCAGAATTCATGTATATCTGATGCCAGCCGTCGTCCATTTAATAATGATCTGAAATGTCCTACGGGCACACAACCTGACATGGTAACTCTGGGTATTTTCACACACTGTCCAAAAGTGCTAATATCTCATTATACGGAAACTGGGTCAACGTTACCCGCATACCGATATATTTTTTCATGTATTTATCTAAATGAATCACTGACTAGAAATGAAAAACAATGATTTTTGTTTTTCCACCAACCAGAAATAAGTTAAACGTTTATGAAATTCATTTACTATCACTTTCAATAAATTTTAACTATTAAAATCCTGTACGAAAAACGTTGAAAATGTATCATGAATTTTTTAAAAAACAACGAATTATGACGATTTGTAAGAGGAAATAAAAAATAATATTTGAAGTTGAAATTTCGTTATTTTATTTTTCCGACCTACCAACCTGAAGTTTAAGGCCAAAAATCCTTAAAGTTTGGCCTTATCACAAATTTTCACCCAAGATGTACATAGCCACTTGCAATGAGAGATGTGGAGATAAAACCACCTCTTGTAAGGCCTGAAAATATTTTGCAACATTATATTGTTACTAATGAAATTGTTACTGCATATTTACTGACACATTAGCTTTTTATCCCCCCGGCATGTTATGCCGGAGGATATAGGGATCAGCCAGTCTGTCTGTCCGTCCGTCTGTCCGTCCGTAATCATTTCCTTTTCCGGGGCAGAATTCCAAAACCATTCAGTGTATTTGATCGAAACTTGGCAAGTCTATCAGGCACATACTGAAGTGGTGCCTTTTGATATTTTGGGATTTTTCTAATTTTTATTTTTTAAAATTTTTATGGAATGAAGTTGGACATAGACTCCATTGGGGAACGGGTTCGTTTCCGGGGCAGAATTCGAAAACCATTCAGTGGGTAAACAATGTATGCTTCTTAAAGAACTGTTCACTCATTACATAGAGAATTGCACATTTACTGGTGGTTTCTTTACAGACAGCTGCCGGGGGGATATGTCATCTTTCTGATGACTCTTGTTTCTATTTGTTTTATTTGGCAATCATTCCATGGTTGTGGTGGTTTTCCCAAGTGAGTTTTTTGTGTGGTTTATGCTTGTGTTTCAGACCTCCATCTGTGTAATATGTGTGTGCATCTAAATTAAACATGTGATCATGTTATTTTAATTTCATTTAGAACATACTCATGTGTTGTTATTTTATTATGGTTATTATGTTTTACTTTCGCGCTTGTGTTGACGCTGTCACTGACATAAGCTATTGCAAGATAATTCTGTGTATGTAGGAAAGGTGAGGTGAGGTGAAATTGGGTTTAACGTCGCGTCCAAGATTATTGCACTTATATAGCGACGTGCATGCACGTGTGTGTGTGTGGCTGCTTGTACTAGTCCGGACTGATGCCGATTTATAGTGCTAGCCCACTGAGATACCATGCCACAGTTTAACATGAATACCCCACTCAGACACAGTATACTGACTCTGAGC